TATAAAATTATTTTATGTTTCAGAAATTATTATTCGTTACTGTATTTAATTTATTGACCAGTGACAGATAGGTATGACTACTGATAGTGCACCATGGCACACTTTTTAACCCACAATTATACTTAAGTACAAAATGTATTTTTATTTTTTTAAAAGCTATTCTATGTTAGATGACTAATAAAAAGTCATTATTAGCAAAACCAATTGTATATACCTAAAATATCTTGCCGTATGAGGTTTTTTTGTGCTATTTATGTTGTGCTCCAAATAGTTAAACATTCAATCTAAAAATACATTGTTCAGAAACAAAAATTTTATACAATATTATAACGTAGTAACTACGTAATGTTCTTTTCGGCCGCGTCGTCCGTTTGTCGTAGCCTACGACGATGATCAACGATCGATGATAATATGAATTACATGAACGTAAAAACCAATGTATATTATTATTATTACATTGATATCAGTGGCGAATGCCGACTCTGATGTATGGTCATGCTCATTTATCATAATGTTTTATAGTTATATTTAATTTATAATTTAATACATATACAATAGAACTTTACTTAATTAACATTTAACTAACTAAACAATTTTAAAAAAATAGGGTAATAAAACAAAACGAAGAAAAATTGTCATTTACTCGTACACGTAAATTTTATAAATTATGACACTGACAAAGCGCAACAGAATGAGCATGCCTTGGGTCATAAATACCGCGGCTGCTAGTAGAGATGGTCTCGGAATAACTGATATTTTACAGCGGTAACAAGCGTCAAATAGCATCTATCACACATCGATTGCATGCTCTGTCATTAAACGTTACAAAGTATAACGGCAATAAATTACATTATTGTAATTACATTATGTTCTTTTAAAATACGTAATATATTACTGATTACAAAATTATTGTTGTATTTTGATTAATAACGTTTTTATTGCTAAGCATGCGGCGCATTCGTCACTGATTAATATTGTTATAATGTACTTATGTATGTAATGTATGCTACATGATAACGTCGATAATAGAAAATAATTTCTATGAATAAAATTAAAAGTTGTTTTTAATTTTACAAAAATGATGATGGGTTTTTAAAATGTTTGATATATACAAATTACAAAGTACACACCACTAGTGATGTCCCATTGGAAATTTTCCCGGTAAAAGTTCCTGGGAAAAGTTATTTTCCCGAGAATTTTCTTTCAGACTACTTTTCCAACTATCCTCAATATTACAATTATTAGTTTTAAGGTGGGTTTACATGGCAACAGTACTGCCATGATAGAACTGTCATATGATTATATGAAAGTTGCTGTCACGCAAGGAGTACTGTTTACACGGTGACAGTACTATCATCTGATTTTACGACAGTTCCTACAGCAACACCAGCTACTGTTTTATAATAATATTTTATATAGTAGGTACTTAATTCTGTGTGATCTAGTACTTTTTTTTGTGTAAACTTATATGACAATTTCAATTTTCCAAATCTTAAAATTATATTTGAAGAAGTAATTCATTCTATGATTAAAGTTATTGGTGAAATAATAGTTTTAAAACAAAAAAAGTGTACAGTGAAAAATAGGAGATAATAGGTCAGAAAATTAATTCAAAGAAGAGATCAATTTGGTGTATCAAGACCTGTAGTCATTGATTTTATAATTTTACTGATTTCCTGAATGTATGTTCCACGAATACTTCTTATTTTAGCTCTTAGTTCTTTTTTAGTGGAAAATAATAATAACTGAAAAAAAAACCTTATCGCGAACAACAACCTCAACAACCAACGTATGTAGTATGTAAGTATATGTGTATATAATATAAAATATCATAATGTGCTTGTTATAACTTGTGAGTTATTTATCGAATGTCTCTTTACTATTTTAAAACGCCATAAGTAGTCAATATGAAAGATAATTTTACTAAACAAACTTTTCCTACATTTTTCTGACATGGTGAATATTCCCGGAAACTTTTCACGAACATGTTCATGATTTTACTTTCCCGAGTAAATGCTCATACCTACACACCACACGTATTATTAATTTGGTTTTGTATAATATAAAATAACTCTATTAATAAATAGAAATAATTGAAATATGATATTAGTTACACTATTAAGTTAATTAAATTAAAATTACTAAACAGTATATATTAGTAACTCCATTATAAACCGATCTATAATTTAATGTGTGATTTTTTTCTAAAAAATACTTACCTAGGTACCTAATTTAAGTTCTACATTACAATCTTAAGCTATGCTCTTGGTATGGGGTATAATTTTTAACAGGAGCTACCTACATTAGTGTAACATGTATTTATGTATTAACATTTTTTGTTTGAAAAAAAAAAATACACCAAGATAAAGGTTAGAAACCTGTTCTAACCGAAACCTAAATTTTGAACTTTATGAAATCCCGAAATTTAATCTAAGCCTCCGCCTCTAGTATTAAAAATTAAAAATGTAAAACAGTTTATAAGTATTTAATTTTTATTAGTTATTTTTATATTTTATATAATTTTAATATCATGTACATAAATAATGGTTTATATCAAACTTGAATCTAAAAATATTTGGAACACAAATATATGTTGATAATTTATCATTTATTCATCCATTAATTTAAATTATTTTTAAAAAAGTTCGAAAATGTACTGTAAAATGAAATATACGTTTATATTCTTAGAATCCCAAAAATATGCATTTAAAATATAAAATCATAAAATATGAAAAATTATTTTTAGTAAAAATAGTCTTATTAGATTCAATAGAACATGAATCAAATTTGTATCTAGTTCCGCGTTATTTGGATAAACAAAAAAAAAAAATTGTAATTCATAAACATCCAAGTCATAGTTATTACTGACTACAGATTTTAGACAATCAGCTTGATAAGTAATAATATTACTTAAATCCTAAATAAGTTATTTTGATGGTTTAGAAATTTCACTAAATTAATAAACCATCAGAATTACTTGTTTAGAACTCCTTTTTTCGATTATTAAGTACTACCATTGATTATAAATACTAGTATTTATAATTAATGGTACTACCCTTTCAGAGCCATCATAGGCTATAATATAAATAAAATGAAATAAGAGGAGGTGCTAATGTTTCACATTTATGAGTAGATAACTATTTTAATAATGCTTCGATAACCATAATGCATAACAAAAATAAATAAAAAAAAACATTAAAAAGTTATGAATTTAAGAAGCACAAATATATAATCACTTCTTTTCTGTATTTAATTTTGATTATAAAACAGCCTACAATGGTTCTACCTTGGAACTTGATAATTTAACAGGTGATCTAAATTAGTAACCTTGTCAATCAACTCAAAGTAATGAAAATTTAATTCAAATTAAATACTATTCATATTAGATAATAATTTCCAATGGTAATAATGTTTTACAACTAAGAGATTGTTGAAGTTTTAATTTTCGACGATAAAATAGTAAGTAACAATAAAATAAATTGATTTTAGTTTTAACACACATGAAACAGTTCATTTTTGATGTTATGCTTATCTTAGTGATTTTATAATAGTAAAGGTAAAAGTTCTTGTTAATCCAAGGTATTCAGAAGATAAATTAAGATGGAATCTTAACTAAATGTTCAAACTTCTCATACTCAATTCCTTCCAACATACAATTACAACTGGATAATTATGTTACTATTACGCCTTTAGTTAATTCATAGTATACATAATTTCATGTACGGAAGGTAAATAATTTTTATACCATTTCTTTGTTAAAATTCTCGCAAAGAATTACAGTAATAAACAAGCATAAATACAATCAATAAAATCACATACATTGTTTTAATATATTTTTAAAACTTATTAATATACATTTATTTTAATTCTTCATCATAAGGCTTCAATTTAATTATAATTGGTTTTGTCTAGCATGAATCTTCAATCCGATTTTAAGCAAATTATCAACTAATATTTAACGAGATATCTAATCAAATACAGTTCTATGAAATTCTCAGTATTCATTACAATATATAATATATTAAAAATATTTCAGTTAAGTATTTTAAGTATAAACTGTGTAAAATATATTCGCTATGATAATATATAATTAAAGGCTTACAATAGTAACAATTTTAAAATCATACAATACAAATAATCATTAATATAAATCATTAACACAATAATATGGAACATAAAAAAAGGAATGACAATAACACAACAATATCATTAAATATATGTATATATGCTTACATTATTCTAATAAATATAGGTAACACATACTTATTAAATTATTTATTCTATAAACTTTAAGATGCATGTGTTTGAAACCTATGATGATTACTTCGCACACTTTATATTCTTATAGATATAATATTATGTTATACAGACTTTTGATTACCAAGTATTTGTATAAAAATAATAACAGTCTAAATTATAAAAATTATTAAATCAGATGAAAGTAATACATTTTTAAAATAAAATCAATACACAAATTCGGTCATATGCGAATTATGAAAACATTTGATTAAAATTGAGGTAACAATATTTGTAGTTAAAAGTAATTTGATATTATGCCACACATATTCATATTTAAAACATAAAGCTTATTATGTTGGAATAGTTATTGATTTTATTAATGTTTATTTTAAAATATTTAAACATTAGTAGTGACAGTTTTCAAAGCGAATAATTTGTCCAAGATAAAAATGTTTTTAAAACACTTCACACACACTAGATTAATCAAAATCATGGATCGGTTAAAATTAAATTTCTACATAACCTTGAATGAAATCCTAACAAATTTGAATATATAATTTAGGACTTAGTAAAAAATAATGATATGAAAAAAAAAACTTATGAAAATTACTATTCCAACATAATTAGTCTTGTGTTTAAAAAAAAACCATCCTTTATACATATTTGTTATAAATAAGTGTGTATAGTTATAATATATTGTGAAACAAAGTTTTGATAAAAAAAAAAAAAAAAAAATATAATGTATATATATGTTTATTTAATTAATCAGTTAACATATTATACCTATCTAAGAACATTAAATATGTTGAATAAATTTGTATTGATTTATTTTGAGATATCATATTGTTCGTAAGTAAAATTTTAGACTTATAGATAACTAAACCTAAAAGTAATTAGTTAAGTTTAACCTTAGTCTTCATTTAAGGTATCATTATCATGTAGCAAATTCTGTTTTTCTGGACGAGGAATTCTAAAACAAAAACAAATCGTGAATAAAAGAATTAATATATTCATATTAATTTATTAAAATATTAGTGATTTATTACTTATTTGATTCAAGCTGAATTCTTTGTTTAATGCTCATATTTAAAATTCCATTAGTCATTGAGTCCCAGGTCCACAAAATAGCAGTCAACAGCAATGCGACTATACAATTATAAAACAAATTGTAATTTTTTTTCTTTATTTTAAATAAAAAATAAAACATACTATTACAGAATAATCATTACGTAGATAAGAATTTAAATATTTTTAAGAAAACGTGACAGATAAAAAATTATCTCCAAAAAATAAATCCTATGTAATCAAAACTCAAAAATAATATTGAAATAAATAATATATAAAAATGTAGTTACTTTCTAGTCAACTTTCTAATAAGTGTAATTAGTTAAAAATAAAAGAGTTTAATACAAAATAAACTAAGTTAAATGCATTAAAACTAAAATCAATAATATTCTAAATAATTAGGCAAGTAAAAAATAGAATAAATTTATTTTTGAATTTAAAGCATATTATTAATATACTAATCTTGGTACTTTGTTTGTATTTTCATGTTTTAAGTATAAAAATTAAGCATTTGATGACTAAATGTAATAGATTTTTTTTTATAGTTTTTAGATAGGTTTTTATAATTTATTGAAAATTTAATACTCAAATATCCGTACATTTATTTTCTTAAATTTATAAAATATACTTTAGTATGTATAAGAAACCTTGTATTTCAATTTCATTCAAATTTTTAAATATTTTTAATATCAATATAAATAATATATTAAATAAAGATTCTGGCCTAGAAAATTTTAGTGTATTATATTTAGACAGTAATACTCCAAGTAAGAACTTATATTTATGTTGATGTTAATAAAAATATCTAATAATTTTGAATAAATGGTTACAAAATTATTAATGTTTCAAATAACAATTATAAATTTAAAATTTAAATTGTTTTCATGCTCTGGATTTTTTAACAGCTTTAAAGCAAATAACCAATAGATAATTAAATAAATTTAATCTTCTAGATTATCATAAACATCTTCATTTACTTATAATTCTTATAAAAATGTATTTTGGTATAAAATAAAAAAAAAAAATAAGCAATAATGTTTGAATAAATCCAATTAAATATGTAAATAAAACTTAATTTCTTTATAAATATAATATATTATAATATATATAAAATATACATCATAAAATATAGATATTATAATTTTAACTACAATAATAAATGATTTTAATTAATATTTTTTATAAATGTGTTAATATATACCTGTTAATAAAAAGCAGAAAAATAGTTCCACCATATAATAACCATCTGCATCAACTATTATACCAGTTAGTAAAGCGACAACAGCAAGGCCGAGGTTTTCAACTGACTGTGCTCTACACAATACACACAAACAAAAATTAAACAACATATAAAATTACATTTAGATAAAACACATATTACACAGGACTAAACATAAATATGAATTCAAAAAATTGTACTTAAGTTAAATTCACTTAAAATAAATAGTGTATTACTTTAAAAAATATTTGTTATCAAATGTATCACGATTCATGACAATCAAATTTTTTATTTATTTGAAGAGGTTATTCCAATATAATTAAGATATTAACTTAATATAATATTTATGCTGAAATCTTAAATTATAATTTCAATAAAAGAAATAATGTATAAATTCAGATTCCAAGGCACCATCTTTCTTAGTATCCTTAAAATTGTATATAGTTGAATTTAATAGTTAATTTAAATTTTTTTTATGAAATTATTTATATTTATTATACATTTTCATTAAGCATTATAACCAACTAGTAATAAAAGAAATTCCAATTATAACAGAAAAATATAAAAAGATATTTAACACTTACATTCCATAAGCTGTTCCCATTTGATGCTCTGGAATTATCAAAGCAATTAATGGCCACAATGCACTAGCTAACATAGAATATGACAATCCCATTGTTAACTAAAAGTAATATAGATCATATTATTAAAAAATATTTAAATCATTTTTTGTGTGTAAAATTTTTATATTTACCATAGCAAAATAGGGATTAACAAAAGAAAATGCCAAAAACATATGTGAACCTAATGTACCAAGTATTGATAAAAATACCCAGAATAAATTACGTCCAGTTTTATCAATAACTAAACCCAATGCTGGTGCACATATGGCTGATATAATATAAATAACTCCATTGATGAAATTGGCTGCATCTGGCGAAAAATTATACTTTTTCTCAAAAAATACTCTGAAAAATAAAAATTGTTGTTATGAATAAGTTATCAAATACCTACATACAAATATATAAGTTTCTTTAAAAATGATATATTATAATGAAATTTGGTACTTAGTTTAAAATAAATTATTCTTAATTAAATATCATAATTAAATACTATAGCTTATAATATTAACATCAATAAAGAATACAATAAAATATCTTACTTTCCTAATGCAATAAATGGAAATATTGAGGTGTAATAACAAACAATAATGAATGTTACTAGCCAAAAGATATTTGGAAAATGTTTAACATCAGTTATTTTTACAACTTCAGTGGAAACTGATAATTTTCTATGAAGAATTCTTTCGGCTCTTTTATCTTGCCAAGCAAGAAGTAAAGCACTCAACATTGATAAGACACATGTTAAGCTTGCTGAAATATAAAGACAAAATTAAATAATAACTTTTAAATGGTTATCTGATATTTTTATACACACCAACTAATAAAACAATGGATAAACTTTGATAGTTTGGAATATTGATATGTTGTTTTACATAACGGTATAATGGTTCCATAACAATAAAATTTACTGTAGAACCAACTCTGGCAAAGCTCAATTGAAATCCAAATACCATGTTAAGTTCTTTTCCTTTGAACCATAATACTGCATAGTTATTTTGTGCAACAGCTAAGGATTCACCACCAATTCTAAATGTTAAAATAATAATAAAATTCAGTTACATCACTAATAATACATAATAATAATAATTATATATAATTGTTCACAAATAAATATTATAAACATCACAAAAAATTGTGATTATCCTAATACTTAAAGTTACAAAATAAGCCGAGCATATATTATTTATATCATAAAAAATAGGTTATTAATATTAGACCATAATATGGTGAAATTAACAATAAGACAATGATATATTTTTATGGGATTTAATATTATAACTTATCATATAAAAATATGATAAACCATTATATTGTTATATTATACATTATTTTTTTAAATTAAACCATTAAAAAAAAGATGACTACTGATTAAATAAGCATTTTTAAACTTATATAATTATATTTAATGATTAATTAATAAATCCAGTCATTCTTTAAATTCATCATATTAATAATTACATTGTAAAATTAATTTTTTTTTTTTTTTAATTTAATTTGAAGTACCTAAAAATATTAAGCATTCAATCTAGTATATATTTAAAATGTCTTAGAAAAACAAATCTTATGAAACTACATTTAAATGTAAATAAAGATGAAGTATTACTACTAAATAATGTGTCATAATAGCTGTAATGACTTTAAAATGATTATCAAAAATAATTAAACTCTATTAATTTAAAGATTTTGGTATTATATACAAAAATATATCTGAAATATTAAGAAATTCCTTGCCATACACAAAATAAACATATATTAAACTTTATATCTATAATATTGAAAAAAAATAATGATTTTGTTTAATTAACTTAAATTGATAAATTACATAAAAATATTATTTTTTTTTAAATAGTTTAATTTATTTTTAATAACAAATACAAATATTCATATCATATTATCATATTATCTATAAAATACATTTAAATCAACCATTATTTCACTTAACAAGTATGATGTTGCATATAGTAAATTATAAAATTATTTAAATGTTCAAATGAATATTTAAATTATTTATTTATGATAATATATTTAATAGAAAAGTAATTACCCAAAAATAAGACGTCCTAGTAACATAACCCAAAGAGTGTTTAAATATGCACCAGCAGCAAAAACTATTTGCCCAAGAACAACCAATAATGCATAGATAACAGTCCCCAAACGTATACCAAATACACTGTAAATATTATAAAAATATTAAATTAAATAAACATTTCATAAATAATTTTTAAAACTAGAGTACAGAAAAAAGTAAACTAAAAACCTGTCAATTAAAAATCCACCAATAAAACACATTATAACATTTGGCCAGGAATACCAGGAATACAGATAAACAAATTGAGAAGTTGTTAAATTCATATCTTGTATAAAATCGTCCTGTAAAGCTCCAGGATTATCAAAACAAAAATAAGAGCCTGAAAAATACGAAATAAGTTATTTAAAATTTTCAAAGTTACCTTTTAACACCATAAAAATATTTACCAAATCCTATTAAGCACATAAGAAATAATGCTAAAAGTCGTTGAAAAAGATGACTTGGATGTTTCCATGTTACTTCAGAATCAACTTCTTGGTTGTTTATTATATCAGTTGATGATGATGGTTGATTTTCGTCCATTTTAAATTATATTTAAAAAAATTAACTGAAAATATTAAAATATTTTAGAATAATTATTTATATATTACAGATTCAATTTTGAATAAATTAAAAAAGAATCATAAAATATAAATTATAAAAAAAAAATGTTTCTGTTTCATACAAAGTATAACTAAAATTGAACTTTTATTTTTTATTGTATGTATGTATATAAAAAATAAAAAAAAAAGCTGAGAAGTGTCAGGAGTGGAACAATTTGCCAACCAACCTTTGGACTATGAATAAAATAAAAAATGAAAAATAATTATATATTAGTTAAACGCAAATTCATTATTAGTTTTAATTAGTAATTATAACTATCAAGGATTCAATAATAACATAAAGAAAATATTGAAATTAGTAACTCAGGAATAACATTTAAATAATAATTCTTTTTTTTATCTTTTTTTCTTTTGCCTTTCTACCAACTATTTAGGGTCTGCCACCTTTATCATTAATAAATATTATTTAAAATTACTTTAAATTATCTAACAGCATAAATAATAATTTTAGTACAAAATTATCTACAACTTCATTACACATAATAATATAACTACATTTTTAATTAAATTAAATTATATTAAATTGTCTATTAACATATTTTTAACAAACTGATATTTAAGAACATTCTGAAAAAATCCATAGTTAATTTTCAAAAATGTGATAACGGCTATTGTTTGTCGGTTAAGATGGTAAAAAATAAATCGGACAGGATAGTGTAATTTTACTGTATTTGATTTGAATGCAATGATTGCATTTAATAAAAAAACGATTTTGAGTGGACGAGGGAATGTTTTTTATTTAATTTAATTTGTTTCTATGGTGATAAACAAAGCGTTTTAAGAACAGCTTAAGAACGATTTATATAAATAGGTAATTTATATAATTATAATTATAACTTATAATTAGGAAATATCATAAAAATTAAAAAAATTTAAAATAAAAAAAAGGCTCAAAAGTCGCTCAAATGTTTTGAAAATGTTACCATGTCTAGGTAAGGATAATATAAGTAAACAATCCAAATTTCAAGTTTTTATTAATGTTTTTAACCGAATTACAACAAAAAAACTCCCAAAACTAAAATGTCTACAAATAATTAAAAAATGGCTAAAATTTTCTGAATGTTTATCTGTAAGGAAAAAATTCTAAAATACAACAAAAAAGATCTCTTGTCATTTTTTATTTGAAGCAATATTTCTGGTAGAAAACGTCGTCCATAATTAATTGATATTATAAAATCTAAATTGTACGTTTTTCTCCTTTAACCGCTTTTATTTTGAGTACCGTTTCGAAAAATGACCTCTCTAAAGTACCAGCTCAAGAACATTACCTTTCAGAAAAGATGTTACGCTTGATACTTTTGGGCAAGTTTAGAGGGAGAAAAAGTGTTCACAGAATAAAAAAGAAAAAGAAATAAACATCATTGTAAAACCATTACATTCCCCGCTCCGCTCAGAATCTTACATGAACAGTAATTAGTTATAGGTTTTGTTGCGATTATACAGATTAATAATTATGAGCATGAATGAAAAAATTCTAATAATTTAATTATTTAACTGAAAAATAAATATTTAAAGCCCATATCAAAAAAATATTATACAAAAATGCAATAAACAATCATAACTAATAGAATTATAACCAATAATATACCTAATTAAAATATACTTTTCTTTTGAAATAATCAAATTTTAGATCAGTGCAAGTGGTAAGCAAGTAGAAAACTACAACGATTTGCATATTGCCGATATAAATTTTAGAAGAGAAGTATCCATAAAATGTCAAGTACAAGAACTATTTATAAGACTTCAATTATATGTTATATTCGCGGTTATCTGGGCACTGCAAGATTTTAAGACTTTAATTATTTTTATTGCAATTTAAAAATAAGACACCGACTCAAAAGGTACTTTTGAACTACATCGGCACACAACGCCATAAATTTCCATCATTAAATATTATTCAATAGTAAACAAACATGTCTATATATACACATATCCATAACAGCAGATTGTATTTATTTTTCTGACAAAAGGAATAAAAAGTAAGCTTTGTCTCTAAATGAGCTAAACAAACACAAACATATGGTAGGTAGGTAGGCGTTGAAACACAAATATTTGAAATATTATTTCAATCGCCAATTGTTGAACAAGCGCTACACGCTTAATTTAGTTAGATTCAACAACACATAATTAATACACAAGTTCAGTGGCGCAACCAGGATTTATTTTTGGGAGTTATGCATATGAAAAAAATTAATTTTGGGAAGTGTTTGGTGAAGAGAATGAGATTAGGTTAATTTACATATTTCGAGGTCATAATCCCCAACCACCCCTGGTTGCGTTTATGTATAGGTTAATTTCGTAATAGTTCACGTCGATTAGCTACGTAAAAGTGTTACCGTTCGTATGCAATAATATAATGAATATAATGGCTGATAAAAATCGGCTGCACGAAAACAACGTTAAAGCGTGATGAGACGAAAGACGTATCAGTGAGAGAAAGGATAGAAGGAAAAAATGGTCGCCAAATATGAATACGAACGCAACCTTACTCACCTTTCAACGCGACGAGTACACCTCAACGGTTCTGGGTCAAAACATTAGACCACGCGATTCGGACGGGAATAAAAACGATTTGGAATGTATGCGGTGCGTTTCCGTGGACAATGGAACAATAGTTTCGTGGCAACCTGATGGCGGTCTTCGTCGTCGTCCGTCGAAGGGAAAATGTGGTAATAAACGTGATGCAAGGGGCAGCGGGGCGGTCGAGCGAACGGAATGTCAGGCAGCAGTGGCGACAACGACGGCGATGGCGGGTTCCATATGAACGTGATGGGGGAGTTTAAAAATTAATAACAAATAGAAGACCTTTGTTGTCGTACACCATGATCCGTCGGTTATTCTCTCTCTTTCTCTCTTACACACACGCACACACTTTCTCACTCACTCCTTCTCCTTCTCTCCGTCCAAGGGATAACGAAATAATAAAACACACGACTGTGTGCGCATGGGTGTGTGTGTGTGTGTGTGTGTGTATGTGTATGTGTGTGTATGTGTTTGTGTGTGCGTGTGCGTGTGTGCGTGTCTTATTACAGTGCACTTTGTAATCACGAAAATCGTTATCACGCGGATATATCTCTCTCTGCCGATAGCGGGCTAAACAGCTGATGCGGTCGCAGCCCGTTCCATGGTAACAGGTGCGGCCGCAATAACATGTCGTCCACAAATGGATCTTCCCAGGAAAAAATTGTGTCCGTACATAATATTGCCTACATTCAGCCCCTTTTTTGCAGCTATCAAAATGTGATAAAACATTGATAAAATAATAACATCATTTTTATTATTATAATTTTATATATTACTAAATTTAAATTAAAATAGTTAAATAAATTAAAATTTAACAACATACAAGTTGAAAAAAAAAACACAATAGTCAGTTACGATCGTCATTTAAAAGGAACAATTCAAAAACAATAAAAAATATAACATTTTTATTACTCTCAAATTTCTCCATACCTCTAAGTTCAAAGTACCATATTTTAATCTTTATTAAAAGAGGACAGTGAATTAATTGTAAGATACAGCAATACTCAATTATAGCACCAAAATTAAATTGATAAATTAAGGTTTACTACAGCTGATAGAGCAAAATTGGCAGGTAGCTTATTTTATTTTATATTGTTGTGTGCACTTTTGATTACTGTACAACTTTATTATTATTTTGTTTTCTGTAGAACAGTACGGGTCCGAAAAAACCAATACCTGGTATACTTAAAAGAAGTTAAATTTATTTTATTCAAAAGAAGTTCTGACAAGAGGTTCTGCTTATTGACACTGATACAACAACACTACTCAATTACTAAAGTACGTCGTCCAGTCAAGGGCCGAGCGAGCAACCAAAAGGGTTGAATCAGCACATTCCTTATACTCGGTCCCCACTGGGTGATCAGTTCTTAGAAGTATTACATCCGCTAATACAACACATAATGTCTTATATTCTATACTAACATAATATACTTATAATGCTATTATAATATGTAGGGGTTCCTAACAATATAATACTAAACTACTATCTATACTGGTCCCTATTCAAAGGGTATTAAATGATGTCCAAGATTCTGTGGAAGGAACAACATTGAAATGTTTATAATATGAGTGTTATGGACCAAATAGTAAAATGTATTAATAATCCAATTTTGTATTTTAAATACTGTGCAAGATGATTTTGCCTCACATTTAGGAAAAGATGATTTTTGTATTTAGAAATGACTAAATCTATGTTGATTGGACCCATGGTTTAAACTTTAAACAGTTAGGTATGCTTTTATAACAAAAGTACAAAATATTAAACCTAATTATAACATTTGTATTATGTTTTCGGTTGAAGTAATCTCAATAAATTGTGTATTTTTAAATTTTAAATTATGATATTGTGTATTATTAAATTTATTTAACTATTTAAATTTAAATTTAACAATATATAAAACTATTATAATAAAATGATGTTATCGTTCTATCAATGTTATCACATTTTGATAGCTACTAAAAAAGGCTAAATGTAGGCAATGTTATGTACGGATACAAACAATTTTTTCCTGCGAAGATCCGTTTATCTGATCAACGCGACGGTAAACGGCGATAATGTGATAATGATATCGTGATGGGTGCGAATTTGTCACAATTCGAATTCAATATTGTAGATTCGTAGAATTTGGAAACATCTCTCATGCTTTATGATTGACACTATTATTTCGAGCGTAGGACCGTGGCCCTCCCATTATTTTTTCACCGTTTTAAAAGTTGGTATTTTTTCCAGTACCGTTTCCGGACGGTCAAAAATATTGTTTTGTGTTAGATTTTTGAGTGATACTCGGTCCTCATTTCTCTTGGAAGTTAAACTATGAGCAAAAACCGTGTTTGGCCCGAACCCATTGGTGGCTCGTCTTACTGCGTCCGGTATTATCTGATTGCAGTTGCTTCTGTATTCAGTGATTTCTGCTTTGTCTATACAAAACATTTGGTGTTAGTGAGAAGAACGAGATGGTTAGATTCAGATCCAATTTTTTTTTATTCTCAAAATAGAATCTTTACCAAAAACATGATTATTATTATTTTGTATAGGGTACTGGTTTGCTTCTCAACACGTTGTTTCTACTTTTTGACTAACCTATCCCTTAAATATATTCCCATATGCGATTAAAGTCTCAATTTCACTGATAGATCACTCATAGATCATATTTATGTGTAAAAAAAAAATTTAAATAATTGTTATTAAAAATTCATTATTTATATCTCCTTAGTTATAGTTACTTGTAATTACTTATAGTTTGTATTTTCACAAATATAAAATATTTAAATTTTGATACTATATAATTTTAAATTAAAATACAATTTCATCATAAAAAATGTATTTATTAAAATCAGATTAAGTAATACTAACCATAAAATAGAGTACCTACCAAATTATTGACAGTATTTTTAATTATATTACAATTGGACATTTCCCCCCTTGAGCCGTGTAAAAACTAAAAATATGAATGAACAAATCGGTTTGGCGATAATTTTCGTCAAAACTGTCAACTGTTTATAAAAATTTTTGCTATATAATTTTTTTATTGATACCTATATTTTTATGTTATGCCATTGTGGTATAAAGTTTATAGAACTTAAAATTACTTCTCATGTATCAAGCAATAGGAAAAAATAAATGGGATATGAATGCAAATTGTAAGTATATGCAAAATATTTTCGCCCCCCCCCTTGTGGCTTTTCAAAAAACACCAATACGCAGTTACAATATCCCCAACAGTGCGGACATGCCCATTCCTTTGCATATATCAACAAATAAAAATAGTTGTTATAATTTAATTGAGGAATTTAATACAACAATTTTGTTATTATAAATTACCTTTTTTGATAAAACTTCAAAAATATTTTCGCCATAATGATTTCCCAAGTTAAGTCTACAAAATATACCTAGGACATAACCTCTAAAATGTTTTTAGCGGCAATACGACTTTTAATCCAGTGTTTTCTGCCTAATATAAATTTTTAAATTTATTGTTAAACCAATACACCTACAATAAACTAACAACCAGGGCTAATAATTTATATCATTTACAATTTTTTTTTTTTTTTTTTGTTGAGAGGTCCTAGAAATACTTATGTCAGCTATATATTTGTTTTAGATACCTAACTAAGAAATTAAATACGAAATTTTATGTTGCATATTTCAAAGTATAAGTACTATTTTGCAAACTTATTATTGCATATTTAGAACATTTTTATTTGCTATTTTGCTTTTTTAAGTCTTTTAGTTCTGTAGCGTTTAAAACATTTTTTCTTAATAATAATAACAAGTAATTATAGTATTATTAATTTTTATATTTGTAATTAATTCGTGTTAATTAACTAATTCTTCTTCTTTTGGTTTAAATTATATATTTATTTGTATCATATAGCAACGCAATCAGAATTTTAATAAGTTAATTTTTTTTTTTTGACGTAGGTTTTTTATTAATAATAAGTGAAAATTGGTTTTATTCATTTTTTTTTTTTTTTTAATAATAAATGAAAAATTGTATAGAGTTAGAAGCCTCTAACTCAAATAATAATCATAATAACTGACAATATTTGTTTCCATATTCTTTAACTTGCCAAGGGCGTATTTGAGTTGAGGCCATAGGGAGAGCGAAATTAATTTTTCTTCAATACAAACTTAAAAATAATTTATAGTTCATTACAGGGGCGTACCGAAGGGGGTTTTTGGATTTGAACCCCCCATTGAAATTTCTATATACTCAATGGTTTAATAGTAAATAGTACATATATGTGTGTATTTTAATTTCTCGTTATCTTCAATATACAAAGTTTATAGATTATATAATATACCTATAATATATAAACCATGTTAATTTATGCTGCTTTTTTAATATTATTTGTTTTTGGTTATTAAATAATATATTTTTTTTTAATATTTTACTACCAAATAAAAATTTATTTCAAATTATAGTACCTACCTATTATAATAAACCTTTGTGAAGAATATGTGTGATATGTATATAACTATTGTGACTATTACTAAAGTTATTAACAGTAATTTGTTGGTATTGAATTAAACTATAATTATAATTAGAGAACAGACAAAATAAAAAATTTGGACTCCCCTAAAAAATTCATGGGTACGCCCCTGGTTCATTACCTACAGCTCATGTTCCTGTTATTCATTCGAGTGAATAAATAAAAATACAAGTACCAAATTGAAATAAATATTTATTTAATAAATATATTTAAAATCTACTGCATATAAAATAATTACCTATTAATAATAACAACACAAATAGTTATTATATTAAAATTGTACCTTCAATCTGAATCTTGTATAAAAAAAACAACAAATAATCATAGTAGTAGTAGTACCTATTAATTACTATTAATTATTTTTAAAAACCTTTAAAAAACACTTAAGATAGGTAACTTAATTTAACAAATATCTAAGTAGAAAACATAAGATTGGTAAATAGCCAAATAACAAATTCCAAATTTCTTTTTTTCATTTTGGCAAATTTGTTAATTGTTTCATCAACGGATAATATTTTACAATAATATTTTTATGCACATGCAGCAAAGTCAAGTCTATGCTGTCCTATTCTTAATCTTACACCATGTTTTTAATTTACAAAATATATTTTTGGCCAATATTTGCAAATTACGAGGGCGTATTTGAGGGGGACGAAAGGGGCTTCACTTCCCCCCCACCCACTCATGGCTCGTTTTTATAATATAATACATTGATTAATTTAAAAAATGTGATGTATAGATAATAAGGAACATAAATTACTAGTTTATTATAATATGATAATTAATTTAATAATATCAATTTGATCACAGGTATCAATTTTTGTTTATTTTCTTATATCTTAACATTTTTGGTTGTGGAACGGATTGTAAGCTCCGCCGGAATATCGGTTAAGATAAAAAGGTCTAAACTCCGCCAGTTTTTTTTTTTTTTTTTTTGCCTGAGAATACTT